CGTGGGGGTGGGTGCATAGTGACAATGGGAGCTTAGAATTTCATAAGTGTGTACCTAGAAGGGCCCTAACCTTTTATGCAAGTGTTTTACCTGTAGGTGGTATTATTTGGGAAGGATTCAACTTCCTTATGTAGTAATTCGCAATTCGAATAAAGGGCAACCTTAGTACCCGTTTGGCTTAAACTTTTTGGTTTAACTTTTCTTCTCCGAAGAAAACAAGCCAAACACTTTTTTACGAAAGTTTTTTTTAAAAAGCAACTTTTAAAATGAAGAAAAAAAACATAAAAGTAGCTTTGTATATATAAAAACTCCTAGATGGAGCTTCTACCTTTCAGCTTACGGCTTATTTTAAAAAAATATGCATTCCCTATCAAGTGCTGTCATGTAGATCCCACGCTCAAGTTGCAATTATGTACCCTTTATGGTAATTTTAAATAGAATTGGAGCTTATATAAATTATTTTACCAAATGACTTATTTTTAAAAAGAACTTTTAAGCTAAAAAATTATATAATTTCCAAATTATTGAAAATTCAAATGTGAGTGATAAAGTCTTGTATCGGAAATGAATGAGTTAAGCAAGGAATATACAATTGAAATGATTTACAAATCTAATACCTTAAAGTTTTTGGTTGAAATGTGGTGTCGGGTTTGCTTATTGTGGTTTGTCTCTTGTGGCCATTGATGTGTGGATGCTAGTTTCCCTTAATACCCAATAGTGGTATTTGTAACGTCCCAAGTGTTTAGGAAAAAGTATAATAAAAAAAAAATATATATATATATAATAATAAAATATATATATTTTATTAATAGCAGTTGGTAGATCCCCAGGCTAGCTCGAGATAATGGACGAGGCAATTTCAGTTGATAACGATTAGTGAGTTACTTGAGTTTTGAGCTCAAGTTTGTACTCAAGAGTAAGAGGAAGATTGTTAATTTTGCTCTTTTACTAAAGCCTAATTGGGCCTAGTGTGTAAGAAGAACTCAAGAAACCTATAGCCTATTCAGCTTAAGGCTAAGGTTTCTTGGAACCCATATATATTCTATACTTATAGTTATCAGCCTCTCTAGTCTTCACTTGGTGGTTGCAGAGGCTGAGGTAAGGTCATCTCCCTGAAAGTGAGATAGTGCCAACTCACCACTCGCTCCCCCTTGAGACATAGAATGGATGGTCTACTATAGGCCAACCTCTATGAGGAGATCGTTTGTACTGCGATGCAAAGGAGATCAGTTCGTGAAGAGGAATCAAACACGAGAAGATACTGCATAGATCTGCGCGACAAGAGGTAAACATAAAATGATAATGATCTGTCGTATCTCAAACCGCAATGGTCTAAATGCTTTCGTAGATCCAATTGCGCCTACATATATAAGTGGAATGAGTCATAAAACTAATATCTAACAATTTTTAGTTAAGATGTGATGTCGAGCCTACTTATTTTGATGAATTGATGCTTATCCATTTGATAATAGTTCTGTTGGGCAAGTGACTTTTTACACAAAACGCTTACAGAACACCTAAAGGGAGGGTGAATAGGTGTTCTAAACTTTTTCTTAGTAGATCCTTAAATCTGTAAAGTCTAGAAAAAGTTAAACAATTAAGCTCAATCATCACACCCATTGTTGTAAAAAACTAGTGTAAAAACTTACGTTTTTACTAGATTGGTGCGTGTTAAAACTCAAGTAAAAACTGTCATTGGTAAAAACTGATAAAAACGCCACGTAAAAACGGTAAAAGTTTATGTTTTTACCGTTTTGACCGTTTTTACTTAAAACTAAAAATTTAATAAAAAAATATATACAAAAAAATTAATAAAAAAAAGATTTAATTTTTTTTTTAAAAAAACCTAATTTTTGTTTTCCTCAAATCATATTCACAGTATCTTAATATCTTTTTGTTTGGATATATGTTTTTTATAATTATGTCTTATAAAGCTGCAATTCTATTATAAGTTATGCTATGAGAATCGTTTTGTATTTTTGGATCATTGTGTGCATTGAAAGAAGTGGAATTATATCCTGATGAGCGATGATCCAAAATCTGCAGAGTGTATAAAGCAGTTAGAGCAGATTAATTATTCATTACTTGTTAATTATCACTGTTTATAATTTTGATAATTGGTTATGAAAAATAATTTTCCTTTTTAGATAGATAAGTGGCTCAACACACATGTTCATTATGTGATTTTTTTTTACATGCATATATATAATTTTGCATCTTGACCTTAAGTGGTAGAAAGTAGAAACTTTACGTTTCGTGTCGTTTCTACATTTTACGTTTCTACTACCCCTTTTCGTTTCTACGTAGAAACTCGAGTTTGACAACATTGATCACACCAACTCAACAAGATTGACAGTTATCAAATTATTTTGCAAGTTCAGTTCAGATAACAGTCACACAGCTATAACAATTTTACTAATTTTACCTTAGGTCCCTATACACCCAAAATGATTTCTCTATGATGTATATCAATAGAAAATGTACCTGACCTTTTATTTTACAAAGCAAACGCAGCAACAAGCTTTCTTACTCAAAACAGAAAATGATTAATTTTCAAATACCAGAAAACAGTTTAAGTGCTACAACAATTATATCAGAGCCAGTAAGGTGCTACAGCACTCTAAAAATATAACAGAAAGCTGCTACAACACTTTCACACAAGAATCAGTGTAACTGTGAGTCTCTAAACAAAATATTCAGAAATTAAATCAGAGAGACAAAAACACACGATATATCCTGGTTCACACCCACTAAACCTAAGTAGAGTGCTACGTCCAGACTGATATCGCTGCATATATTTTATTTATAACAAGTGTTCCTGTTTTACAAATACGCGTCACACAAGCAATCAAATAAAATATCAAAAATCTTCCTAGTGCCTACACTGCTCTCCAAGCTCTAAGAATTCTCTCAAGTCGAACATACGAAGTTCACCAACTCCTCTCACACAAGACCTCCACTCTCCCTAGTGGATTCTTGAGGCTCCAGGCCTTGAGACACACTCTCAAGCCAAGCACAAGGTCGCCAACCCATTCGGTTGCACCCACACACCTAAGACAGATTTTTCACACACGCACACTTCACTTTAAACAAACAATACGATATCTCAGATTTATAACAGAAAATTTATCAACCTATTACAAAGTCCTATAACACTTGATATATCAAATAAGGCACAACAACAAGCTCCAAAATGGTATGATGTATGCAGAAAATTTAGAGCACAAGTATATGTATCACAAACTGCAAATTTCCAGCAATAAGGAACTTGTATTTATTAATATCAAGTATCTAAATGATGGACATTAAAAATTCTGATTTAAACAGAAACTATCACACTATATCCAGAAAAATCATATTTGTAATTTCTCTCAAAATTTCACAAAAATTTCAGAATTAGTTCTAACTAAATCTCTTAATGATAAACCACAAGAAATCTGAATTTTAAGCACAATATTCCTCAATAAAAACAGAAAATTCAAATTTAATATACCAACGATAAAATTTCTAGAACAATTCAAGATTAGGCTTCTAAACAGTGAATCTCAAACAAAAATCTGAATTAACACAATGTATAACAAGGTATAAAAGCAAATTCAGATTTAATATTTTTAAATGATCTTTCACAAAAATTAGAAACACAAATCTTACACAAAGAGCATCAAGATTTTTATTATTTTTACTTAAAATCAAAACAGAGAAATTAGAATACTCACAATGTATCAAAATAAAAACAGAAAATCAAATTAACAATATCAAGTCTCAAGAATATACCAAATGATGCTCAAAACAAGGTTTAAGATATTACCTCAAGAGATATGAAATTTTCAGCAAAGTAAAATAGAAAATGTGATTAGGGTTCTTCAATCTTAGTTCCAAGAATCTTGAATTAAATTCTTCCAAACTTGTAGAATCATGAACAACACTCCAAATCTCCCAATCTTGACTCAGAAATCGATCAAGATACCCTGGTGCACTTTGTTTAGGGTTCAAGAAGAGAAAATTTATTGATGGAAATTTGGGGATTTTTGGGAGGAAGATGAATACAAGGTGTTGTATCAAACACTCACACACACTCTATTTTTTGCTGATCGAAGATGAAAGAATGAACAACAATTTTCAAAGATGAGAAAGTGAGCTCTATTTTCACGCAAAAATGGCAGAGAGAAAGAACACTTACGAATCAGAAGAAGTCTGTGAATGAATTTCAAATGATTCTTCTATCCTTTTATTATTATATAGTATATCGCTTTTAAAGAAAGCTGAACTATCACGTTTTTGCGTTGGAAAAATCAATCAATAAAACAATATATTATATATTAAAACCCAAACTTCACACACACACATATATATATATAAATCAACCAACGTATAAGAACCGTTGTAGACTTTGTTTCTTTATATATATATATATATATATATATATATATATATATATATAATTGATTTGGTTTTATTATATTACTTTTACTTTTTGATTTTTATTAAAACATATTTTTAATTGATTTTTTTATTTATTGAACTAAATCCATAACAAAACAAATTAATCTAAAAAAATATATGCATGTAATGCTAATGCAATGGAGTTTGATATCATACTTAGTGATATATCTAATGTGTTACAAAAAATCTAAAAATTTTCTAACCCAAAATTTTAGCATCTTCAAATTGAGTTCTTCATGCTTTGACATCATCAAAACCATTTAGGCATAATCTACTTGAATTTAGGAGGTAGTTCAATTTCTTCCTTGGACTCCCTTCATCACCCAATATGTTAATAGTTCGGCGATATGGGCGACTCATTTCTTAAAAGTTACAACTATGCTAGAAAACTATTGGGTCCAATCCAAGGTCCATCCTAAGAAAATAAATAACAAATAAAATGATTTCAGTAGGAGGAGAAAAAGGAATCAAGATAGAATCTATTCCTTGAAAATTAGCAAATGAATTAACAGAGATATAGTCAATGAACTTAGCACAATTACAATACACACATTGAATCCAACCACAAAAACCTATTAGTCAATCATGAGTACACTTTTTTTTCTACAAAACCATTTGGCAAATCATGGTTTATTATTGGCTATAATAATATGAGGAGCAAGAAGACGAGGACGGGATCTTATCAAGAACTTGTAGCACCTCTTTCATTGGTGGCCTTTTCTGTGGAACACTAGATACACAACTGTACCCTAACTTGAAATAGGCCAACAAGGCCTCCTCCTTACCCTCCATCTCAACACGAATAGCGACATCAGCCATCCGCAAGGCCCGGTTCTTATCCTCAACCAAAAGCCCAGGCCCTTGGCCCATGTCATCCAAAACCACAACCTTCCCCGTTAGCAACTCAAGAAACAAGACCCCAAAAGAGTACACATCCCACTTCGGGTGAGGCTTCAAGTTCCTGAGTGACTCAGGAGCATGGTAAGGAGATACACCGCTTATTGAGCTCGGGCTCGGGCTCGGGCTAGGCCCAAACGTGATGTCTTGGAAGCTTTCACGCGAGGCCGTGGATCTCTTGCTCCCAAAAATACGTGAAGACCCTCCGGCTTTATAGCTGGTGTCACCCGTCACTATTCTCTCAAGCCCAAAGTCTCCAATCTTGGGTTCCATGTCATTGCCCAATAGAATATTGTTAGGCTTCAAATTTCCATGCACGTGCTTTTTCTCGTGGAGGTAAGCTAGCCCACGTGCCACCCCTTTCGCTATCTTGAGTCGGACTTCCCACGGTAAATGACTAGGCGAGGAGCCCACCTTCCCTGACATTCCAAGCACACAATATTACTTTATCATCCCAAAAACATTGACCAAAGTCGAAGCACTAAAACATAAAAATTAGTAGGGCTTGGATTTCATATTTATTAAAAATATAATAAAAAATAATGCACACAAATAGAAGGATCACAATATGTTTTTCTCAAATTAGTATCATTATTTTTCCTTTTGCATAAGTTTCCACTAAGAACAAGCATTTTGTGTAAAATAGGTCAGAATAATAGCACTGATAAAACTAAGTGAGTGGAAACATAAAATGGTCCTATTTTCAGTGTCACTTTGAGGATTTTAGAAGAGTGTGACAACAGCAAGAAACAATGGGCATATTGGGTGCTCCCAATTATGGGCACGCGCATCCATATCAGAAAATAATTGGGACCAAATAATGGTGTGACTCAATTGGTGCATAAAAGTTGAGTAAATAATAGAGATAAAAGTATATGTTCGATTTTCTTCGACATATCTTTAAAAGAGGTTTAAAATCTTAATATTCAACTTTCTCCGAACAAAATTGCCTCTAATGAAAAAGTGATTTATAAAAAAAAAAAAAAGGGCAGCCGTGGGACAACCCTTGACATTACTTCTCGACATGGTTGACCATTGATGCATTAAAGTAAAGGGGTTCAGTTGCACCTACTACACCGTCAACGTCATATCTTTTAAGCAAAGCGCATTTTAGTTAAACCCAACGCAACATGCTAACGTGCACAAGAACAGGAAAAAAGGGGTGAAGGGACTTACTGTAACGAACACTGGCAAGGCTGCCATTAGGAACGAAGTCATAGACGATGAGCTTCTCATCGTGTCCCCAGTAGAAGCCACGAACCCGAACAAGATTTGGGTGAACCAGTTTAGCTATGACCCGAACCTGATTCTCGAAGTCCTTGAACCGCTCCACGCCACTCTCACCGATTCTGCGAACCGCTAAGGACGTTCCATCTTCAAGCACAGCCTTGTACATTATGCTTGAACCGGTTGCACCCAATATGTACGCTGAGGCTTTCAGTAGTGTTTCCAATTCGAGTTCTCTTTCACCATCAACGGTCACGAGAGTACCCGTTTTGTTCCCTTGTTGATTCTGATTTTCATGACCCTTCTTCTGGTTCTGCCCCTCCTGTGCTTCCACGTCACTATCAGAAGAGCTCGTGGACTCCGAGGATTCTTCTTCCTCTGCTCTTTTGCGCAAGCACGACCACCTCGTGAACCCTCTTGACTCCGAGGTTGATGAGGAACTGTCACTCCTTGCTGCAGCTGCTTCGTTCTTTATTACACTCTCAGCCTCCTTCTTTCTCTTCAATCGATACACGTACACGAAAATCGTGGCTAAGATTCCAATGCCTACTATATCTCCCACCACGATTTCTATAATCGTTCCTCGTCTGAGGCCACTCTGTTTTTTCTGAGAAGATGATCCGGTTGGTGCCATGGGAGAATCAAATGTCTTTGGAATCGCAGCTATTGCAGGAGGTGATGTAGGATCAGAAACTTTTGGTTCAGAGGATGGTGAAGAAGGAATAGGACATGATTTTTTTGTTGGTTCACCGCATAGATCAACATTCCCAAAGAAAGAACTTGGCTTCTGATTAAACAAAACGGTCGAATCTGGAATCTGGCCTGTTAGATTGTTGAATGAGAGGTCAACGGTGGCGTTACTTGGAATTTTTCCCGCAAACTCTTGTGGGATTTTCCCAGAAAATCGGTTATAGGATATGTTCAAGTAACGCATGGCGTCACCACCGAAGTCTTGGGGCAGAGTTCCATTCAACAAGTTAAAGGACAGATCCAAAACTTGCAGTGTTCTCAATCCGCTAGGAAGAAAGCCAGACAAGTAATTGTTCTTCAATGCAGCAACAGTTAGATTTTGCATGTTTGAAAGATTGTTGGGTACTTTCCCCACCAAGGCATTATCAGAAAGATTAAGAAACTGAAGATTCCTGAGCTGTACTATGGATTCTGGAACCTCCCCTGTTATGAAGTTATTAGACAAGTTAAGAAACCGAAGCTCGGAAGCTTGGAAAAGTGGAGAAGGAAGAGACCCGTTGAGTGAATTGTTGGAAAGATCAAGAATTTGGAGGTGCTCAATGGAACCCAGATCGGAAGGAATAGAACCCACAAGCCTAGAATGTGGTAGAGACAACCCAGTAACGCGATATTGTGTAGCGTTTGTTGTTGTTGTTGCTGCACCTGGTACAATCGAACAATCAACTCCATTCCACGAACACGGTGTCTCATCGCTGTAGTTCCAGGTTCCAAGAGCTAAGAGTGGATCACTCAGCACAGCGTACTTGAACGAAAGCAACAAAACACCATCTCTACTTAGGCCACAACATTGGTTAAAATTAGTAACGAGAAGAAGGAGAAGAACAAGTTCAAGAATTCTCCACCATGAAGGGAGACTGACACTCGTGTAGCTCATGATTTTACAGAGTGATCCCACATTTCTCCAAATAAGAACGGAGAGAGAAAGAGGTTTTAAGGAGGTAACAATGATTTATTGTGACCGGACAGAGAACCATGTGGATGGAATATATAGTGAAAAAAATAAAAAATAATGTGGGAAAAGGTTGCACATAAACAGCTCACCAAAACTCGAACCTCTTACAAATATGCTTTCTGTGCAGCTACGCTGCTATTATTTATGGTTGAGCTCGAAATATTTAATTGCTCTACTAGTTTTTGTTGTTGTTGTTGTGCTCTCTCTCTCTCTTTGTAGTACTCTACTTGTAAAGTGATGTGAGTATAGCATCTTTTCTACTTACTACTAGAGACATGCAGGTGGAGTTGGAAACATTTGTTAACTCTTCAACTTTGCTTGATTTGATTGACTTCAGTGATAGTCCTCAAATTATTCAAATCCCTGTGTGAATATAATTAATTCCTTGGCTAATATTATTTATTTCATTTTCAAAGCCGGTTACGTTTAAAAAATTGACCTCTCTATTGTAAAAAAATGGAAAACTGTACGACTTTGTTATAGTCATTGCTGTCATTTGTTTTCTTCTACTTTCCTCTCAATAGATAAAAAATAATCAAAGTCTAGCAAATCGATCTGGAAAAAAATAAAAATAAAATAAAATTTATCATTTAGTGATTCTAATTTTTTATTTATTTACTTTAAAGAATCTTATCATTATCCGTCACTAATTGGATACCATTTATTTCGTATTTAGTAGCATTCGAACGAACAGGAAAGCTGGAAAGGGAGAGATCAATGAACCGATGGGGAAATGTTTTTAAAAAGAGAAACAAAAATAAGCACATTATCTTTTTCTTTGTAATGATTTATGAACCAACAAAACATATAGTAATACCATTATTGAAGAGGGTCCCAAGACGTAATACTAGTATCTCGTCACAACGTCATTATTGGAATAATTAATGGAAAAAGAAAAAGAATATCCCTGGTCTCAATTCAATTTCGCACCATTTCCAATTGGAATGGCGGTGTACGTGGAGGTCATGCCATGTATGAACATATTTAGGACCAGCCCACATTGAATTGCAATACCGGGAGAAGATATGGCCCCATTAATTAGCAATGGTGACAATAAATACATATTACATAGTACAATATCTAATCACCCATCTTGTTTTCTTTTATAGTTAACGATGAACTATAAGTCTAATCTCAAACAGTGATTAAGATTGCTCAAAAACAAATCTATAGTATTAAAATTCTGTGTGAAAAGGTATCATTATTTTGACGGTGGACAAAAACGAATCGGACCCCTATGGCTATATCTGTCTGTTTACATCTTTTAAGAGACATAAACAAATACTGTAGATTTGTGATTACATTATTTGCAAGGTAGCATCCATCCAAATTTTGGGCAACATTTTTGGTCTTGCATAGTACGGAGCAAGCTCTTTTCAGACTTGAGGAGCTTTCGCATTCAGATTTCGAATCACACATGGGAATGCATTATAACTTGCATTATCATCTTATTCTTTATTAGATTAGCTCCTGCATTTTTTTAATATTTGGTGGCAGCTTTACTGAACTCTTATTTTTAAAAAAACAAATAGGTAAAAAAGTAGGCAATTACCCTTTTAAAATTTGATTAAACCCAAGATTCAAAAGGTCCGATACCTACTTTATAATGGTGGAAAATTCATTTGGCAAACATGATCTAGACTAAAGTTCATTCAACTTTTACTTTCTAGCTCTATTACTAGTAAAAGCTGCTTTAATTTTTTTACCAATTAAGATCAACCCTTTTATTCTTTGCAAGGAATAAAAGGTTAAAAAGGCTCTTATAGCATATACTTCTTGCTTTTCTTTAATACTCTGTTCTAAAGGTGGAGGTTGGGGCCATGGCTGTTCGAGGAAGATGACCAAAAAAAGTAGCTTCAAGAACGGTTAGACTATGGAGGTTCGATAGATGATCTAAGATGCACCAAACCAACGGTTAGGATTGTGACTGAATGTTAACTAAAATTAGCGCTAGAGCACTCTACTCTACTGAACTCTGAAAGTAACATATATACATAGTTATATTTGCTAAAGCATAACCAACCCCCATTGGGAAATTTAACATAACAAAGACTAGTAAATATTGATACCAACCAACTCCAGCAACAGAGAAAACAAAAGTTGTGAAAAAGAAAAAAAGAAAAGAAAAGGGACTTGCAAATATATATTTTTTGTGATGGATTTAGTGAATGTCTATGTCATTTCTTAAATTCTTTCATTTAATGCCTTTTGTAGGTGAAGTAATCTCAAACTTGCAAATTCATATTTTTTGTGGTTACTTTAGTGATGTCTATGTCATTTCTTAATTCTTTCATTTAAGACCTTTTTGAAGGTGAAGTAATCTCAAACTTTGTGAGAAGATTCTGCACTCTATGCCTTTAAGTTGGTGTACAATGATTAAGGGCCAAAAAGAAATTTGACTATTCATTGAGCAAATGTAACACTTTATTCAGTGGCGCCTAGCGACCCATAACGTTTGTTTTTGCCTTTTTTCTTTCATCAACATTGAACAGAACAACATGGCTGTTCCTTTGAACTCAGAAAGCCTTTGTACAACTTTGCTTCCCCCAATGAACGGATCGTGTTTCTCCCTTCCTTGTTCAATAAGTTAACCCGTGGAATCTTCAAATCTCTTGACATTTTGCTAAGTTGATCAGCAACCAAGCGTTTTTAACAGAGAAATAGAGAGACTGAAAGATTAATTAGTTAATTTGACTCGGCCAAAGAGAACGAAAATCAATGAGGAAAGTAGGGTGAAAAACTTGTCTACAAAGATAAGTTGAAGGAATGAAAGGGTGGTTTCAGTAGTTGAACTTCGGTAAGTGGAGTCGACCCCGTGAATGTGAAGGCATGGCATGACTTGGTCCAAAGTGTAACAAATATTAAAAAATGTGTTTCATGGGACACTTGGGTTCAAGTCCTTAGTGGCTGCTCCTGAACACCAGGCTAACTACGGTTTGTTTCTCACTGGCATCTTGTCTTGTGCTTTGTCTATCATTAATTCAGATTTGTACAACTTGATTCACACATGCATGCATAATCTTAGTTGGGAATATATGCATATTTTACTTCGGATCAAGTTACATAAAAACTTATAGGTCATTAGATTATTTTGGAGGGGAGAGGGGGGGAAATAACTTACGACATGTTATATTTACAAATTTTTTTATTTACTTTTTCTTACAAACTACATTATTTACTTTCAGAAGAACACTGGTGACATTATCTTATTTCCTCGGAAGAAGATAATGTAATTTATAAAAATTTGTAAACGAATTCTTCCCCAATAACTTATTCCAAATTATTATAAGGTGTAAAGTGATCTTGTAGTGTGATCGTGAACAACATTATGTTATGGTTAATTAATGCCAATGGCCTACTAATTAAATAATAATGATTAATTGTAACACCCAGAATTCCGACACAAATGCTTACACATGAAGCTAGCACATGGCCGAGCATCGGAATAATATTAACGACATCTTCACTTCATTAATCACCACCGTGCGATTCGACAATTTTAAATTTTCAGATTTTATTCAGTTAATTACGTGGACAATTGTTATTTGCTAAGACTCGAGAATCAATATTCTCGAGAATGGGAAACTACTCAAAATAGTAGTAGGTTGCCAATAACGAATTTTGCTCTCGGACTAGAATAATATTTTTTTTTTTCAATATTGGTTGACCGTAATTTTGGACGGACTCACTATTATTGATAAAACATTTTAAAATTAAAATATAGAGAGAAAATAGTAAATTTGTGGTCTTTTATGAAACTAATATGTACGTTTTTTTTTCTTTCTAAGTTTTTAATGGAGATTAGAGAAATAAAAATGATTCAACAATTGTTTGTTTAAAAGTGCAACTCCTCCTGCTTTTGTAATTACATTTGAAGACAATAAGAAGGCAAAAATTCAAAAAGATAAAATAAAATAGTACAATAATGTAATAATATTAAGTATTAACCCCATAAATAATATACTAAGGAATAATTTAAACGCATAAAAAATTTCTAATATTTTTTGTGAGTTACCTATTTTATTTTATAAAAAAATGAATTAATATTATGATTTATTTAAAAATATTTTATAGCTCGTTAAACTCGCAATTTTTTTAATAAATTTATGGCATTCCAATAGTTGACTACTACGGTTTAATAAAATCAATGTAAGGCTGAACTTAACATAGTTTTATAAAAAAGTTAACAACATTATATTTTAATATATAATTAATTCTCCTCACACTCCGTAATTTAGTATATTGTGACCTTTCCACGTGCCTCTTTCTCATATCTTTTAACTTTTCATTCAAAATTGTTCCCGACCTAGTTTTAGCCAGTAACATTATATGGTGCTTTTTTTTTTCTTTTGTGGGCACATTATATGGTGTTTTAAATATAATAATAATTATCAATTTATTCTTACGATACAGAATGAGACTTGTGTTAGTTATTTAGTTTCACTTTGTATAATTCAGTTAGCTTTTTCCCGCCTTTGATGTAAGTAACACAGGTTGTATAAATACGAGAGAAATGAATGAAAACACTGAGAAAGTATTCAGAATCAAAATGTTTATCATGAAATTTGAGATGGTATCAGAGCCCTAAATTGGGGCTCTGGTATCGCAGTGAGAGAAACTTAGATATTTTTCTTTTCTACAATGGCGAACACTGGACCCGACGATGCTTCTGCTATAGTAACACCACCACTGTTAGCAACTGCATCTTCCATGGCAACTCCAATAGTGCCTGATTACTATAAAAATCATTCTCATCCATTTTTTCTACATCCAAATGAATCGCCGTCCACAGTTCTGGTTCCTCAACTGTTGAATGGAAACAATTACCATACGTGGGCTCGAGCCATGACAGTTGCTCTTATTTCGAAGAACAAGATAGGTTTTATTGACGGAAGCATCGATCCACCATTGGAAACTGATTC